CGATTAGGATATCTCAATGGAGGGACTTTACCTGCATGGTACGTATGATCTGAAATGGGTTCGATGAAGTATTTCTTCATCGTGGTTTAGGGACTATGGCACATTGCTAGATGTTTACCATAGTCGTTGGGCCTCCGGACAGGTTTTCGGATTCATCCAGAACCGGCTCACGGCTAATCCACGGTGGACCTACATGGTCACACCAATAGCCTTGAGAAGTTAGAGAAGGATGAGAGAGAGAAATGATTATCCGAAGAGGGCTAGCACCTTCCGAGGGTAATGACGGGATTTCTATGGTAATAGTTACATAGAAAATTGTTTGTGACATTTTAAGGGTTAAAATGGTCAAGCAATAATTAATTATATTTAATTATTATATCTTAAAGCGTTAAGATTAATGAGATGAACGAAAATAACCTTTTAATAGTTAAAGGGTAAAAGGGTAAATTTATGGGTTGTTGATGTAAACTAGTTTAGTTTACATGGGCCCTTGAATAATATTGATTATTCAAAGGGTAGCATAATAAATTTGTGGGGTCCCTTTTTAAAATAAGATTTTATTGGGCTTGGAAGTGAAAAATAAATAATTACAAAATTGCCCAAGTATATATAAACGCAAAAGGTTGCATTTTAGTTAATTATTCACTTGTTCACTCAAAACAAACTAAAAGCTCTCTCTCCCTAGCGACGGCCACTCTCTAACCTTCTCAAAGTGGTGTTAAAGTGTGAAGGTCTCATCATTTTGAGGCTAATCTTCAACAATCCAAAGCAAAGGAGTAGGTATAATCTCTTTTCCATACTTTATTTGAAAACCGATTTTTTGAGTCCAAGCTTTCATGCTTTCACTTCTCATCTCCACCACTCTTCATGCATGTTGTTCTTTCAGTGGCAATTAGTAATAGAAGATTGTGGATAAACTTTCTAGTTTGTTACTTGAATAACAAAACATAAGTTAAATAATCTAAGCTTGTGAGATTATTGCTTAGATTAACCTATTTCATTGGAACTTAAAGCAACCATTACATTATATCTGAAGAGCTTGTTCTAGGTTGTCTAATGGTTAGAGACTATTGAAGAGCATGTTTCAATAGTCAGAATTAAGGAGAATTTCGAGTAGTAGAGCTTGATACTACCTAGGGTTGATACTTCCATAAAAGGGTAGGATTGTTGCAATTGAGAATATACATTGATTGTGAGGATGAGATTGAAACGAAAACTAAAGTTGTTTTTTATATTGATTTTCATTCATAATTTCGTTTTGGTAATTAATTAGTTTCCTTGATTTTACGAACCCCCGAGTTTATATTTTGGTTATTTAGGTTAATTTAATTTAGGAATTTATTTTTTATGAAAGTTCCAGGATTTAATTTTAAACAATTGGAATTTAGATTCAACTACTTCCCTGTGGGATCGACCTTTACTCATGATATCTACTGGTTAATAATCAGGAGTAAGGTATAGTAATTTTGTAGTGTTGATGACACGCTGTCACTATGGTATTGATAATGACTCTCAACCTCTGCCATCAGTGTCTTTTTCTTACTTTTAACCATAGAAAAGGTAAATGACCTTAATGCTTTCACCTACTATGCCTATAAATCTCAACCCATCCCCTTACTTTCACTTCATATATAGCAACTCCTAGGGATGCTCACAGGCCAAGTTGGGGTCGGGGACCCCTATCCTTGAGCCCAGCCTGAAGGTGCAAGGGGATTCCTCGAATCCAGCCTGATCCTCAAACGGAGATTTTGGGGAATCTTTGAACTCCCTGTGAAAAATGTCAAAAAATATCCTTTTTTTTTTTAAATTTAGTAACGGTCTATCAAATTATTAAAAAAAAAAAAAAAAAAAAAAAAAAAATATGTTCTTATGAATGATAGATTTGTGTATATTAAGATTTTTTTTTTTTTTTTTTTTAAGTCTTCTCAATTGTTAAGAGAATTAGATAAATTCTAAATAAATAACTACCATAATTTATTATAATTAATTAAATGTCTCAATACATATAAAGATGTATTATGTTAATAAACATTTACACTTATTTGAATAAAGAATATGTTATTATCTATCAATTATATAACATATATATTAACATTAGTCATTTACGATATATCAATAATTATATGCAGATTAGGATTATATTTAATATAGACAATTCTCTATTATTGTTTATTACCCATTTGTATATGGTTTCACTCAATGTTCCCATTATATATTATAATTCAAATTTGAATTTGAACTTGATCAATTAATATTGTGAAACAATCAATTATAAAATGGTAATTTCTTGACAAATGTATTTTCTTTACATTAATAAATTACTAAATGTGTCTGTTACTGATACATTTTATTGTGTCTCTTCATCTTTATAATACAATATAGATTTTAATACCATAAAGTTCCTCTTCCTTCTTCTAGTTAATTGGTAGTAATTTAGAACGTTTAATGTCTTAAGAATAATTGTTTGATTTATGACTCATTTATTATTTTAAACTATCAAATTAAACGTTAAACCTACACTAAATCTACCATATGAATATTTAATAATATATATTATTATCAGTATATATTATAATATATATATATATAATATATATATTAGATATACTATATATATATAATTATATTATATACTATATATATAATATAATTATCGCGAGAAGGGGCATTCCCCGGATGAGACAGAAGAGCCGGAAGGCATATGTTTGAACGTAGGAGGCGAATAAGCGGAATTCTCTGCCTCCCGCCCTTTTGAACAAGGAAGGGGGCAACTCGTCTTCCAGACCTGCTTCAAGAATTGTTGGAATGAATCTTTCTCAAGCCAAAGATCAGTGGAGAGTTCTGAATCCGGGGGATACTCCCAGTGGGGTAGATCAGTAATTCCATTCTTATGGCCCAATTCGAGGCCAAAGTGAGTCGGAGACATAGACTATCTCTGTCCTCGCCCAGCCCCCAATTCGAGGATTGCTTTCGGCCTATTCCCCAATAATTTCAGGAATCTCCACCGTTCAAGACGGGCTCTAACAGGGCGAGGAACATGCCCATCCCTAGTAGCTCCCAACAACCTGCTATGGCTTTAAAAATTATTGAATTATGTAAAATATTACAAATTTTACTAAGAAAATAAAAAAATAAACTAAAAAAATAAAAAATGGAAAACAAAATATGGAATATGAAAAGAATAAGAACTATATTAAAAAATTAAAAATAAAATTATCTAAGAATTGAAGAACCTCCTTTGTAAAAAAAAAAAATAATAAAAAAAAGTACAAATTTAAAAAATAAGTAAACAAAAAACAAAAATTGAACTTCGCAAATAATTTTTAGATTTTACCTTCTTGTTTTTTTAGGTTTTTGTAGTTATTTTTTTTAAAAGTATTTTTAAGTTTTCAAATCTTTTAGTTTTTTATCCTTTTTATTAGTATTGTGTTTTTTAGGTTAAGGATTTGTTGAGTTTTTTGTTTTTCTTATTAGTTATTTTACTTTTTTTATTTGCAAATGAGTTAATGGTAAATTATTCAAGTTCAAAATATAATTAGGGTAATTCTTAATGTTGTTTGGTCAAATCAATCAACTCCCAATTTGGTTGCGGCTTATGTGGTAGTTTACAAGTTTTAGGGGTGTAAAGGATTAACCCTTAGTAATTATATAAAATTTAGGTGAATTACTCTTTTATCCTGTGCTTTCATTAAAACTACCGAACAAACTTTAGGGGTGGATGGGAGAGGAGTGGTGTAGTAATTACCAGTACAACCAGGGGGTTTATTGATTGGCAAACCTTGGGAGGTTAAAAGATCTTATCCTAAAAAAATGTCATAGGTATTTTATAAGGGTAGTAGTACGAAAAAAAAAAAAATATGTAATCTCATAGGTTTACAATAGGGGTGGCATAGGAATAAAAAAAAAATGCATAGGCTTCCAATAGGGAATAATATAGGAATTAAAAAATGGCATTAGTTTTTTTATTATAAGGTAGTATCATAATTAAAAAATATGCCATATGATTCCGATAGGGTGAAATAGGATAAAAAGAAGAGTCCATGTTTCCAATAGGGATACTATGGAATAAAGAAAATGGCATTGGTTTTAGATACCGGTGGAATTATTAACCATGAAAATTAATTATACACTCCACTGGGGATCGAACCCAGAATCTCTGGTTCCGTAGACCCATCGCCTTTCCATTGGGCCATGGAGTCAATCACTTTTCTAAACTCCATTTTTTAATTTAATAATAAATTTTGAAAAGTGGCATTGCGATTGATGAAAATTAGAAGTGGAATTCACATATCTCTGGAAAATGTAGTAAAAAATTTATCGTCTGTATAATTGACCATGGATTTGAGATTAACAAAGAAGTGAATAAGTATTTCGATATATTTTGTACTTAATCCTAGTATAATCAAATCCATCACATAAAACACAGCAAAGCCAATCAATCAACTATATGCAGTGCAAAACTATGAGATTTGTATTTGCCATCCTCATTTCAATTATGATTCTGCCACTATAAATGGTTTCTTTTATCATTATTATCTTTTTAATTAAAAGAATAATCGAATCGTAACAAACAGATTTGAATATGATCTTATACTAACAATTCATATCTTGGTAAGATATTGGCCATCAATCAATTCTCTTCCTAAAAAATTGATGGCCAAATCACAAGGTGTTATAGCCAATTTAACCGCTTAATCTTCTCTCCAAAACCTGTTGCGTATCAAATGGAGATAAAGATCACAAATTTGAGAATAGGAACTTACCTTTTTGGCAAAATTGCCCTCTATCAAAACTCTCAATTTAACCATATTTCTTAATATGAGATATTACTTTTCATATTTTATTTTACCTAGTTGTCTTGTAAAATTGTAATTGTGTATAAATATCAGTGTATGCAGTCCATTGCTAACCATCCGACACTTCTTTCTGACAACCTCTAATGGAGTCCGTTCCTTTAATCCCTTGTGACTTTCCTTGTATTTCATCGCTGAGCTTGAGCCATGGTTAGCGTTGCCGGGGGCCCCGCAACAAGCGGTAATCAAAAGGTTGTTCAGCAATATTCAACTTTGGTGACTCATTCAGACAATGGTGGGTTTATCAGCTGTGTTCGGTCCGGCTCTCTCCCCTCATGGCATCATGACATTCGGCGGTCCGCTGGCCGCTACGTGATGGCGTGTCATTGGTTGACTTCATTGGTAAATTAACCTCAATTTCTCTATCATTTCGTTGTTATCTCAGTCATGTCATCATATCTATAGTATCCATTACTCTTTAATTCCATAGTGGTTTCTTGTCATTGAGATTATGTCAATCAATGAATAGTAGTAGTCATGATGATAATCAGGACGTTTCTACTATCATGTTTATCTTTATCATGGGACCAACCAAAATATTGAGTAAGCGTTACTCAACATATTGTCTTTATTGAGAGATGGAAATGGAAAATTAAAGTATCTTGAAAAGTTTAACCAAAAAAAAAAAAGAAAGAAAATCCAGCGATGTATAAGTGAGAGACAAAAATTATAAACTTTTGGCCCCCACTCAACTTTCCAACGTACCACATGTGGATGGATTATTTTATCAGATTGCGCGTGTTCTGAGTTCAATTATTGCACATGTGGGTAGAGGACTTTTGTTTTTCAAGTCCGAAAAATTAGATATGAGATTTCTGGCTACTACCATTGATTGTTGGATGTTTATTTTCAGCGAGCACTTTGGATCTACAATACACTAGTCCATATCGAGTGCGATAGGAACCGACCTTAAACTATGGAGCCAACTTCGCCCGCGGCAGGATCAAACATCAGACCCAGAACACAACTTTTCATGCTACGGTTTCAGTCCCATTTCCTGGATGTTCAGTGGAAGAGTTCTATGATTTCCATACTAGATCCCAAGTTGTCCGTAACCACCGTGGAGTTTACCAGAAATTATTGCCCAAGAATAAAGCGCTATAGGGATATATTGCCCACGATTGCTTCAACAATGGCTTGTACACATTCGAATTGGCCAAAACGATCTCACGTGGGTACTCCTAACAAGACTACAGGAAGTTCGAGAAATGTCCAGAAGTTGTAATAAGCGAAAGAAATCATCAGCGTTAGTCATACATAACACAACCAAACTTCTTTATAAGTATCAATAATTGCAGTGACTTAATTTTGTTGATGAAATTGTGGTATGCAGTGGATATCGGGCTTGGAGGAGAACTTTTGGATCACAATACAGTTCCGGTTGACTGTCTACCGTAGTGTCTTTGAACGATATCAGTTTTAGCTTCACAGGTTGATAAGGCTGGATGCGCAATCCCATTCAACGAACTACGTGGCTCAATATTTCAACAGCAAAGACAGAAAGCTGTGGCACAATTGAGGCAGGAGTTTCCATTGGGCGCCTTCACATATGTTGATATCTACAAATTAAAATATACCATGTTTCACGATGGAGCCAAGCACGGTTAGACTTAATTTAAATTACCAAGTGATGAGTTATTATTATTGTCTATATTGAGGATTATGTATTGATTAATGCAGGTTTCACCGAAACGATAAAGAATTGCTGTGGTTTTGGTGGAAGGTATAATTTCAACTTGAAACAGGGCTGTGGATCAACGGAAATTGTGAATGGGACGCAGGTGGTGTTGGGAAAGGCATGTGACAAACCAGGAGAATATGTTGTTTGGGATGGAGTACACTTCACTGAAGCAGCTAACAAATTTATCTACAACAATATTGTTAGTGGAGCTTATTCGGATCCCCCTGTTCCTTTGGATATGGCTTGCCACAGAATGGATTGAGCCAGCTAGTTTTCATTTCTGTTTATGCACAGGCTAGCTAGATTTTCCATCTTCTCTTGTTAGCAATGCACATTTTAGTTGAAAATAATTAATAAAATTTGGAAGCAGTTTCTTAGTTCTGTATAATTTGTCTCTTAAAATCAGTTTTCTTAGCATATCTGTAAAATGGGCCAAACAATTCCACTTCTAAAATTGAAATTTCAAAACAACAAACTATTTCCGAATCCAAGATAGGAAAGCATGATCCAGAATGAACAGAATCCTTTAATAACAAATTTTCAAGGAAATTTTTTTAGTAACAGAAATCATATTAATTAAATTTTTGAATTTAATTAATTAATTCAAGTTGCCATACCATTTTTTATTAGTAGCCCAAACCCCCGTCTTCTCTCTGTTTTCTCTCACTCTATCTCATGGAGCCTCGCTACTGTAAGCCTGTAATCATTTTAACCCTCTTAATTTCAGTAGCAACTACAACAACAGGTTTAAAGGCTTGCAATTTTCCAGCCATTTTTAACTTCGGTGATTCCAACTCAGACACTGGCGGCCTTTCAGCGGCATTCGGTCAAGCTCCTTCCCCGAATGGAGAGACATATTTCCACACCCCAGCCGGTCGTTTCTCCGATGGTCGTCTTGTTATTGATTTTATAGGTACTTAATTACTTCCTTTTTCTTTTTTCTCATATGTCAAAGACAAGGCAAAATGAAATTTAAATTCGTCATGACTTTCAAATTTGAATTATGGGGAGGCATAGATCTCAAGAATATTGGTCCACCAATTAAATGCTATAAACTTTACCAGTTGTATTGCTGATCCATGGAATCTGTCAATTAGAAATTTATATTTTATTATAAATCATCATTGGAGAATCGCACGTGAGATTTTGCCAAATATGATCCTAAAACAATGCTTAAACTGCTGACAAAATGTTTCGATTATCTAAAATGCAAGGTGATCAATTTAAATATATAGATTTCATTTGATTTTAAGGAATTAAATTAATTCTGCTGTCTCATGTTGGTTGTCAGCTGAAGGCTTGAGATTGCCTCATCTCAGTGCCTTTCTGGACTCTGTGGGATCAAACTTCAGCCATGGGGCTAATTTTGCTACCGCTGGATCAACAATTAGGCCTCAGAACACAACCATCTCACAAATTGGGTACAGTCCCATTTCACTAGATGTGCAATCCGTTCAGTACTCAGATTTCCATAGAAGATCTTCACTACTTTCGAGACAAGGTGATATTATATACTTTACTTTGAATAATAGAGAAAATCCCAAAACTAACCTATTGAATAAATCATTGAACATTTAGATACAAATAGTTAAACATTATACTCTCAAACAATAATGGATAGTTTTTGTACAACATAGTTTTAGATTTTTGAACATTAGGGTCCATCTATCAATTTTAAATTCATTTATTTCTTAATTGACAACATTCGATGGCTGATAACAATGTCAATGTAACGTTTCTTTTCACTTTGATGTACATTTGAATAACAATGGGGAGATATATAATTTGGCATAGGAGGAGTATTCGCAGAGTTGGTGCCCAAGGAGGATTATTTCGCTCAGGCATTGTACACCTTTGACATTGGCCAAAATGATATCACATCTGGTTACAAACTAAACATGACTACTGATCAAGTCAAAGCATATATTCCTGATGTCCTGCACCAGTTCTCCATTGCCATTAAGGTCAGATTTTTACTCTTAAGAATACAATTCATAATATAGTAAAGCTAAGTGTTCAATTAATGTTCTTAAACTCGTCCAGAATGTATATAATCAAGGAGGGAGATCATTTTGGATACACAACACGGCTCCACTGGGTTGCCTTCCATATGTTTTGGACCGCTTTCTTGTTACAGCAGCTCAAATAGATAAATACGGCTGCGCCACTCCCTTCAATCAGGTGGCTCAGTTCTTCAACACTAAACTTAAAGAAACCGTAATTCAGCTGAGAAAAGGTCTTCCTTTGGCTGCAATTACCTATGTAGATGTCTACTCTATCAAGTATGTTCTTATCACTCAAGCCCAAAAACTAGGTAACCAACCATCAACACTTGTAAATTCCTTGTCTACAGATGAACA